AGCATACATCGAGACATCGAGCTACTTCTAATCATCGGCAAACAGTTCTCGTATGATTAGATTCAGTGATTACTGATTCCCTTGCACGTTTCCATGGTTTCCAATTTTCAATCATAAAATCATATTGGAAAATCTTTATATTTTTGAAACAATGCAATAATATAATATAAAAGCAGGTGGGTAACTATAGTTTAATGTATATACGGTCGTTTGTGATAAAAATCCGCCCCTCCTTCTATTTGTGATGGATACTTTATATTGGGACGAATGCATTATTGTAAAAACGAAATAAGTATATGGGTTTTTCGCATAATTATCATATTTTGTTTGTGTCGTATAGAGTGTCGGTCTCTCTTTCCATCCCCTCCTCTCGCGCCGTGCAAATGATTAATTCCACTCGTAGCCGTCGTGTCGTATCGTCGTTTGTATGTCATTTTAATAAAATGTATACCTAATAATACGCCGCGGGGTTATTGTTGTCGACGTTTACAAGGGGTGCGTTCGGACGACGACGACGACGACGATAATCGGTCGGCGAGGATGACACCAATAAAAACCGGTCATCTCGCGGAGAGCGTCGCGCGATCTATTATGTACACCGGGCCCACTGGTATCTAATATTATATTATATTATTATTGTACTCTGTGTGTATCGTCGTCGTGTTTCGTCACGCGAATTTCGTTGAGCAACTATAATAATAATAATAATAATAATAATAATCTAACCCTACATCAACGGCGACGGTGTTCTCCGCTGCCGGTAGTGGCGGCGGCAGAACAGCGGCAAAGGGCCCAGGGGCGCAATAATATTGAACGCTTTCGAGTGCCGCTGCGGCGTGTATAATTGCTTGTTACCGCTTTTCGAGTACCACCACTAGCTGCTACTACTACTACAACAGTAGTATAGTAACTCTCCGTCGCTAGGTGGACCCCTGCTGCAGCAGCGACCCGCGAAAAACATTCACTTCGATCCCCCTCGGAAGCCACACCAGCCCGTGTATTTGTAAATAATTCACGATAATTTCACACTTGTCACGGGGTGAGCAGCTTTTTTTCGGTTTCGATTTTTTTTTTCTTTCGTTTTTTTTTTTTTTTTCTACCTCTATTACCTTTTACAANTTTTTTTTGTCCCATTCCGTTTTATTTCATTTCCTTTTATTACATTATATCATTATATTATATACCACCGTCGTCCCATTATTTGTCACCCGTCCTATATATTCGTACAATATACAATATATTATGTATATATATATAATTATATAAACGCTACAGCGTCGACTGCCGCAGCTCGAATCGGTGTTATGTGTGCGCCAGCGATTACCCGCTGAGATTTTCTGGTCAACGTCTCCGCACACGCACGCACGCCAACACGTGCACTTAGGTCCGCGAAAAACGCCTTTGGCACGCCTCGTTTGGCACGCACAATGTAAACGTCGTCGCATCGCCGCGGCAGCAGCACCACGCCGTTGCGGTCATGGTTTTAAGTTGTTTCGAGGTTTTTTTTTTTTCCGTTAAACAGTCTCAACACCCCCCTCACGCAGCCCACCACCTATATTCTGGGTCCTGCTTGCACCCCAACACGGTCCTATACGCTCGCCTCTCTTCGGCACATTTCCCGTGTAAACCGCAATAAAATATTTGTCTCGAGCACGCTCGCTGTTCGACGACCGAATCGAAACAGCCACGCTGCACTTGAGACGAGCCTCGTTTAGGTACCTAACACGCTACGGCGTATTTATTGTTGGTATACAATTGCACATGCGCGTCTGATATATTATATTGTGCTGTACACACAATATATTACCACAGTCGTGTAACGAGTTTCTTTGTGATGCCATTTTATTTCAAACTTAATTTCGCACGAACACGATCGACCGAATCCATCCGCATTCTGCGAGGTCGGTACAGCTATAGGTGTTCGCAAGTACCTAGGTACCAAAATGTCGTGGATTTGCATACTCTATAACGATATAGGTACCTGCCTACTAACGATAATATAATATGATAATATTGTTGACATTTCGTTGTCGGGGAAAATAAGTAACAGTTGATGACAATTTAAAGCTAATCGATCATTGCAACAATTTGCGGATTCATATTTTATATGGATCCTGAGGTTTTCGTCTAAGACCTACCATTTTGTTTCCATGCAAACGAGTTATTGTAGCTGGAATTTCATGGAGTTTCCTGGGTTCCGTGAATTTTAAATTTCGTTAAAATGTTTTTCTATTTTTGTCACGTAACCATTATTTTATACTAATATTTATTGAATGCTTATGTCTTATACTGTACGGACATAATATTATTATTATATTGTACGTATTACTATTTAAACATAATTAATTATATTAAAAGGATAACAAATAACTTCGTCATAAAGTTTTAAAATTTAAACATTTAACAACTTTTAAAAATAAGTTAATTAACAATCTTTGAGCATTTTCTAATGATCAGGTAATAATAACGTTAAATATGTATAATATACATTATAAACCTAAAAAGTATACATATCATACATAATAGTTATTATGTTGAAGTAAAGTTGTTTTAATTTACTTACGGGTATAAGTATTAAAAATTATAAATTTAATTATCTAATGGAGTAATAAATACTAATTGTGTATAATTAGAATTTTACAAATAAAAAAAATATATTGTATGAAAAATAAACTCAATTTTAAATTTAAATGGATATCAAAACAAACAAAACACTTAAATAAGATTCTAATGGTTGAAACATTAAACACAAATACTATTTTATCTACCTAGTTAGTACCTACCTATACTTTATTCCGTTTGGGTCAAAACAGGTGCATTTAAATTAATTTCTACTTTGTGATATGGGTTTCGTCTGAAAATTTTACCTTTATACGGTATTAGTGTCACAGTAAATGACATAGGTCAGCTGGCAACACATTTCCAGTTCTCTTTTAGAAAAGACGACAAATTATATTAGCGGCTATAATACTGTTCACGTGATAACCCCATTATATTTTAAAATGTTGTTACATAGTTATGAATATCTAAAAGTGAAAAATGTGTAAGAACTTAAGTATTTGTGACTTTGTGAATTGTCAGTTTCGAATAGCAAAACTTAAATGTGTTTGAAACCTACATGCTGTGGCTAAATTAATACCTATATAAAAAGAAAATGTGATACCTTTAGCGTTAGTCTTCTGGAAATACGATTTCTTGAACACAATACCACACTCTGCTGCTAACGTACACAGACAATATTTCTATACTTCTATATACAGTTACTTAACGGTGAACTAAACGGATTGTATGGAATTCAGAAATGTAGGTATAATATATACTCGGAATATTATAATACATATGCGTATAATATGCTATATGCATAAACCTTCTTCGCAGTCTAAACTCTCGAAATCGCAATCTTGAATAAGACGATAAAGAATTCAAAGACATTACCGCGAAAAGCAGGTATACGCTGTGCTGTAAAAACTTCATTTCATCGAATATCGTTTTGCGGTATTTGTAAGGGCTAGAACTCAATTTTTTAAAGTAGGATTTATTTCATAAGGAGCCGCATATAGTTAGCAAGTTTTTTTTAAAATTCTTATTTATGTCGTATTCGTAAACCACGTCGTTTCCCAACTACAGATCTACATTTTATAGTGTTTTTTTAATTTAATTTTCATTTCTTATAAGTTAAAAGCAATGATTTCTTTTAAAATTTAAATCCGTCTTCTTAGATACATAAATGTACAATGATAGTTTTTTTTGACTTTTCGATGATACTATTATTTCTATTCGCCATAAATTTAATAATTTTGTATCCCAACGAAAATTTTTTTAATTATTTAAATATTTTATTGAGCTTATAATTTATTTTGTTTTTTTTGTTAATATTCACGTTATTTATGGACAATAACTATATACTTTATAAATAACCGATTTGTATAGTATTATATTTATACACAAAACTAATGTCGATCGAATTACATAATTTAATAGTAATTGTTAACTATAACGCCTACACAGTACACGCAGAGCAAATTTCATTTCAGTATATCCAATCTGCACTGATCAGTTATCGTGTCACACGCACATTTGACGTATTAACAGTTGTTTCTAATATTCAAAGCATTACGTTCGCTTTGATTGTTCGGATAATGTTCGGTCGACGAACAATTAAGTTATAATATTCTATTATTCTCGTCTGCCGTTTGGGAAAACTGTAAAATGTCGTGTCATGTCGTAGCATGCTGCAACGGATAGTTTTTTTTATAACAATAGGATTAATGTATCGAAACCAACATTTTATGCAAATCCCATTTCTTTATAACATTGCTCTATACGCATATATTAATATTTAATATAGGTAAATAAATAATACATCAATGCATAGAAAAAAACATTTTAAAAAGTAAAAATTTAAATGTATATTATTGTGGACAGCGAAGGTGGTTGGTATATGGCCCACTTTGCATTTTTTATCCTATATTTTGTATTACTTATTTATATAATTTATATACAAAAACTGTAAAAAAAACTTTATACTTAACATTGGCTGCGTCAGTGATTGTGGTAGGGAGTGCACCTATAATCGTTAAAATTAGATACAATAACGTTGACAATGTTTGATGAATACACTTTGATAGTAATACCGTCCTATTTAACGATTCTAAAAATGTAATTATTAATATGTTGTTTTGTATAAATACTAATTACAATTCAATACCTAGAAAATTAAGCAAATATCGAATCATTCATCGAGGTAGGTACTTTTTGGTTTTGTATAGCGATGAATGCAATTGAAGTTTTGGCTATAATATTATGCTTTCGTTTGATCTTGATATTGAATATTATAATATTATAATATGGTTAATAACAGGACCCTCAGGACAGATATCAAATAATATCTGGTTATTATATCGAATTTGAGTTTAGTTTATATTTCTTCTTATATTTTTTAAAAATGTATTTATTTACAACACCGATATTTAACATTATTGTAGAATTTTTATTTATGTCTAAGACCCAATGAGCTTGGCGCCTTTCTCTTCTAATTTTAATGACAGGGGCTGGCTGTGAAACCAAGCTTCATCCAGAACAGCCTCTGGATCGGTTTCCAAAGCCGGGTGCGCAGTGTTCGGCAGAGCCACGTTGTAGCCCGGGAACCAAGTAGGGGGCGTAGACCCCCTAAGCACAGCCGCCGATTGATGGGGATCTTTAGTTTCTAACAACATGTTGCGGGGCGCCTCTTGGTCATCGGTTGAGGACGACTGTTTGTCGGGAAAACTCCCTCCTAGCAATACCTGCAAATCGTCGACATTATCTATTGCTGCCGCTTCTGCCACGGCCACGTTGATTCTGGGAATAATAGTGTCCAGACGTGCGCCTTTTTCCATTTCCGGATCTTTCACGTTGATGAGGGTTGGAGGTGAAAGAGGTACGACCATATCCTGCACGTAAAACAATTATTATTGTAAATACTGGTATGCGTGATGCGTTGAACAGTGAATGGGTAATGTAAACCGCCTTACTTCAGTTGATATGGCTGCTGTAGGACCAAGTGCTACTAGAGGAGCGTCGGGGTTACCTTTGGAAAACAGGTGTTCGTAAACTTGGATCGGATCAGTCTTCATGCTTAGTCCGTTCTCGATTGATCTCATTATATACGCTAAATACTGCGGATCTACGCTGTTTTCCTTAAATATCAATAATTTAACCAGATGAGTAAATACTTAACACAGTCTACAGTGGAATAAACAATTATGATATAAGTTCCTTACGGTCTCCTCACGGTTTTCTTTAGACGTGGCGTCGTACATGTCGATTATTTTCTTTTTCGGTGTTCGTTCATCCAGTATCGTGATGCCGCCTAAAACTTCAGACAGTTCAATATCTTTGTTTTCTGCTTCGACCAACTTTTGTACAGTTTGTAAAGTAACTTTGCATTTTTCAGCGGGACATGGACACGGACAACAAGGTGGAGGACGCGCAGCTTTTTGTTCAGCAACCTTTTTGGCTGGGTTTCCGTAGCATCGACAATTATCAATTGTATTTTCCTGCGCAATAGGTAACATCATAAGTATGATATATTTCCTTTTAACCAATTTATACTCACGGTGTCCATTTTAATTATTTATTTATATTTCTTTGATAAAAATATGTATTAGAAAAAATGTACCTCTATATATTTATTTAAATTAGATTTCAGATTATCTATTATGAGTAAATAATTAAACTCGTGAAACTAATGAAAAATAAAATAATGTATAAATTATCTTGTTTATTATTTTTAAATAATAAATGTTGGTGACAAATAAATACATACTTTGAACTCCATTGCAACCAAATATAACTGTATAGCAAATAACTTTTGAACCAGTGTATGAATATAACAATTTGAAGAATAAATTAAATAAAACGTAAAAAATGTCCTTGAAACTAAAACCATTCATGTAATTTATTTAAAGGTAATATTTTCAGTACAGGTTTAACAATATAATGTTTGAAATAAGAATTGTTTTTATTAAATAAGTATTAAATGCTAACTATTCCTAGTATAATATTATTTAATAGTACATGTAATTGTACGTTTTTGAATATAATAAAATATTACCCACAGGTTTATTTTCTGTATTATCAAACTGTTAATAAGATTTTTGTAATATTTATGATTATGTTTTTTTCATATATATCACAAATCAATTGGTAGTTATAAAAAATATTCTTTTGAATTTTATACAATTTATACATCTTATCTGATTCAGCGACGGCATTTTTTTCAATGATTGATTTAATATTTTAATATAAGTAGTATTGTACTTAAAATTTACCTGTCCTCCTCGTGTTCTTAAAAGAATGTATCTATTTTATTGTTTTTATTTTTGGGTGCACTGGTCCAAACATTTAATACAAACCTGTGTTCACGTGTTTGTGCCGCGATAAACTTAAATCGTGTCGGTTCCGTTTTATCGAACCGACTTACTCAAGTCTTTCGTTCACGTGCCTACAACCTATACACACAAATAAATTTCCTAGCAGGATTTCAGTCTAAATAACCTTTTTCCATTGAGTTTAAGAGTTAAGACTCTAAAGCGTGTAATTCTCAGTTCGTCAGTCGACGTTTTTATGCTCTTAACATCACGCGATGTTAAAACGTCGTCATTTGTATTTACTTGCAGGTATTTGCGTTCTATTTGTCATCACTTGGTATTCATGGTTGTCATTATTGATGTTATCCTCAGGCACTAGTCTAGCAAATCATAAAGAACGGTAATACGTGAGTAGGTTTTAGTAAGTATATTTACCAAGGGCCGTCCCTAAGCTTAACGCAGGGCCTTCAACCCGGGCCTCGCACTTTTTGACATAGTATACATAATATTATGTAATATATACTCGTACAAGATAATTTTAAACTGTGTATTATTTGAAAATATTTTAATCTAATTATAATTATTCAACAATTACATAATTATAAGTTATAAGCTTATAATTATCATAAGTATTATTTTGATCATCGCATTGGAAATATTTTTTTATGAGAACGTCATAATTGCATGTGTTATTATCTCCGGTTTACTAATGCATATTAGTATACAACATTGCATATCTAGGTGGTTGGTATTATCTATTCAACTCTGTTATGTTTTAAGCCAGAGTGAATTGTCTATATACCATAAAATTGTTTGGAAAACATATTATTAGATGTAAGGGCCCTCGTAAGCTTTTTTCGATATTTTAATTTAAAAGTAGGTTATGAGTATTTTTAAAATAATATAGTAATAGTAATAAAATTAAAAAATCATTTGAAAAAAAACAAATTTTTATGAGAATCGAAACATAGTATGTGATATCAATCACTATGATCTAAAATTTACCAAAACACAATAATAGGTAATTGGACATTAAAAATAAATAAAATATTTTTTATTATTCAAAATCAATTTTACGTCAATATATATATATAATTTAATCGTTGATTAAGTAGAATTAAATAACCGAGTATAAACTAAATAAAGCCTACATAATCGTGTATGTATACATGTATATACGAGTATAGTTTTTAAATTAAAATTTAAAATATAATTAAATTTAAAAGTTTGCAAATGACTTGAGAGTCGTAGGCAGTGATCGCAGAAAATAATTAATCGTGATAGTTGTCGGAATAAACTTTTTTTATTTATATAATCGTAAATCTTTTTGTCGATTTGAAGGTACCTAAGATTTGGGTATGTCTAAAAATAATAAATGACTGCCGGTGCTCCATCGGTTATCCTGTCACAAAAACAGTTTTTTTATAACCTGGATTTTAATGAATCCAAAAAAAAAAATCATTGAATAAATAAAACAGAACGATCTGCAAAGAAATAGACAATTGTATTCACAGTTCATAATGCATCATGAATATAATGGTACAGTTTCTTATGTACACACAAATTTGTAATGTTTTGCAAACTCTAGTTATTAAAACTGTTTGATCATTATCCACCCTTTTTTTCTAAACAATACAATTCTTATACAACTATTATATACCATTTCAATGGTAATACGTACATACATATTTTACATAAGTATCTTTTTAAGCATTAAATTTGGGTATTCTTAATTTTTCTTAATTTTTAATTGCAGGTAATTGGTACAATTAAGCAAATATAAACTTATTAATTTTAATGATATTTCATGGTTTTAATATAGAATTAGAATTAAAGTTATAAAATTGAAAATAATAGTTAAACATTACATCTTATAAGCACCATAAGCTTACTTATACCAAAACATAAAATGTTTAAAAAACGTGTTATTAAATGGGTGGTTTCTGGTATAAAATTGATATTTTGTTTTTAAAAATTCACAACATTTTCAATTTTAAGCCCTAAACTTTGAAAATGCAATACATAATTCCTTATAGTATTTTTTACTCGAAATTAAAAAAAAAGATGAGCGTTAGCCATATCAATGTTTATGAGCGATTAAAGTTCAAATGGTGAAGATATTGGACACCATTCAAAAGTGTCATAACGATTTATTCTCTAAAAATGTTGGTTATTTTGTAATTATTCAAAAAAAATTAAGCGTAGAAACTAAAAAAATAAGTTATTACTTATCTATTATTTTTAATACATCAGAATGAGATTTTCAAAATATTTTGTTTTAATTTCGAGTTATTTATAAAGTTTTGAAATTTATTAATGTTGAATTTAAATTATGAGAATAACTAGAATAAGTGTTGATGATAATTTTTGTCTTGTTTAATAATCTTGAAAACTTAATACAAGATCCCACATAAGTTAATATAGAAATTTAAAACGAAATAGGATATTAATCGGAAAATAAATGTTAAGTTTATTTTGTTGTATTTCAAAAAATATTATTCGTGGGGAGTTAAAACTATTTGTTACTACGTATATTATTATTTACTATTTACTACACTCAGTGAAATTTTCAAAGTTCTTAGATTAATTTTAAGGTTTTTAAGCCACAAAACTTTTTGCACTGTTAATACGTGTTAAATCGGTATTGACTTATAAGTTAATAACAGATTAACAGCTAATCATATTATATTATTATAATAATAATTACTATGCATATAAGTATACAACACAAGTGTTTCGTTTTTTTGCAAAAATTAGTTAACCGACCGTAGTATTAATAGAAAAATAAATTACTTATAGGCAATAGTAATATCTTATTCATATTCTCACCCTTCACTCCCAACTTTATGGGTTTGGCCACCCTTGTGCTATAGCTCCATATGCCTCTGTCCCCTATCCCTAATTTCCTTACACTAGCTATTTTAATATCATTTTCTATTCTGTACATCTTTTCTTCGGTCTTTCTCTATCTTTCCTTTAAAATGTATTTTCTTAGCAACTTCCACTGCCTTTGAGTAACCTCTCCTCATAATATTAACAAACCACCCCAACCTATTTTTTCTCATTTTATTAGCAATATAAATGTATAATAATATATCCTTAGAGATATAGACTGATGCACAGCCCCACTCAGAATCGTTTTTCGTATGAAATAATTTATCATTGAATTCAAATTTAACACATCCATAACAGTGACTTATTCAATCAAGGGTACACTTGACACCTACTGTATAGCAGAATAACTACCTGAGTTCTCAACATTTTAATTTTATACCTAATGATATAATATAATATTCATATTTATGTAATTTATTATATCAAAGTGAATCAACAGTTTGTATTTAGTTAACAGTTTTATACTTCATACATTAATATTATTCATACAACATATTTTGGGTTTAAAATCTGATGGTTTAAAATGTTTGAAGAGTCTATGTTTTTTTTTTTTAATTAGGAATATCTTATTGATGATAAAAATTATATAAGCATAGATAATTCAAATTTTGTACAAGTCATTTATACATATTGATACTCCTTTCTGTAGCAAAGCTTAATCTTTTTATAAATATTTACAATAATGTATCCTGCAGTTGATACAATGATACAGTTATTGACATTTCTTATAAAAATAGGGGAGGGAGGATTGATTATAGACATACTTTTCTTGCTATATTATTTAATAGTTCTAAGTTCATATATAATATCATATAAGTATATAACATGTATTGCGTGAGTAGAGTTAAAATACCTGAATTTAATTATGATAACTACAAATAATTATTTTCGTTTATAACCATTTGTGATAAATACTCTTATTTAAATAGTATGTTACACATGACCATATTACGCAACTGACTTAAGTCCAAAGAAAATGCATTCTAGTATGTAGTATAAATTAAAAATTCCTACACCCTTAACATGTAATGAAAATCATTTTAAGCATCTAAACTTTATGTAATACCAACCTAAAGTTATTAAAAAAATGTTGTTATTATTATTAATATTCTTAATGTAAATTAAATCTTAAAATCATAATATGTATGTTAATGATATTTCATCATAACGTATATTTTTTCAAGCGAGTAGAATATGTACAAGAATAAATAAACAGAGAAATTTATTCATTAGACAAAGACCATTATTGTATGTTATTTGAATGGGCTTACATAACGATTAACGAGTGTGATGGTGATTAAAAATAAATATTCATTTGATTTTATATTTTT